CCTCGCTCAGCCAGTGAGCGGCCGGTCTGTATGTGGGATCCGAACCCTCGGCGGGAGCGCCGCCGCACTCCCAAGCGGCGCACTGTAGCAGTGCGCCACCGGGCCGGCCCTGCCTCTATCTATACTATCACCACTATCTAAATCCACAACATCTTTATCACCCCACAAAAAACCCAGTCCTCATGAGAAGTCACCCAGCCCTGGGCAGCTGCGCCTCTACTTTCTGTGTCTGTAGACTTGCCTACGCTGGACGTTCAATGTACGTGGAATCACACGGTATTCGTCCCTTTTGTGCCTGGCTTCTTTCACATGGCATAATGTTTTTAAAGTTAGTCCACTTTGTAGCACGTACCAGTACCTCATTCCTTTTTATGACCACATAATACTTCATCGTATAGACATGTCACGTCTTAGTCATCCATTCACCAGGTGGTGGACCTCTGGGTTGTTTCTACATTTTGGCAGTTGTAAATAGTGCTGTATGAACAGTTACACACAGTTTTTGTTTGAACACCTGTTTTCAATTCTTTCAGCTATATATGAGGATACTTCAAAAAGTTCATGGAAAGATTCATATTCTCTTTTATTTATTTATTTATTTATTTATTTTTATTTTTATTTTTTTTAAAGATGACCGGTAAAGGGGATCTTAACCCTTGACTTGGTGTTATCAGCACCACACTCTCCCGAGTGAGCAACGGGCCGGCCCCATATTCTCTTTTAATTCTATTTTTCCACAAACTTTTGAAGTGCACTCGTATGTTAAGAGTGGAACTGCTGGGTTAAATGCTTACTCTAGGTGGGCTCTGGAGCCAGACTGAGCTGGTGGAAGCCCAGAGCAGCCGTTCTGTGCAACCCTGAGTGAGGTGAACCAGCTGTCCTGCGTCTCATCGTCCTCATCTGCAGACGTGGAACCATCGTGTGCCAAAGAACGTGGCTCTGAGGACCTCAGGAGGCACAGGTGAATGACAGACACACAAAGGCCACGTGAAGACACTAAGACACGGAGACACAGTGAAGATGACATGTGAAGATGGAGGCAGAGACTGGAGTGATGCAGCCCCAAGCCAAGGAATGCCAAGGACTGCCGGCTGCCACCAGAGGCTGGAAGAGGCAGGAAGGATCCCCTAGAGCATTCAGAGGGAGCTGGCCCTGCTGACACCTCGATCTGGACCTCTAGCCTCCAGAACAGCAAGTGAATAAATTTCTGGGTTTTTTGTTTTTAAAAAGGTAACTCTTGGGCCGGCCCAGTGGCGCACTGGAGAGTGCGCCGCTTGGGAGCGCGGTGGCGCTCCCG